CTTAGCTTTTGAATATTAATTGATGTAAAAAAAAATTGTTGACTTTAGGTGATCATTCGTTTTTGGGCCATGTCCCGATCGCTTGCAAAGATGCAGTGGCAATTCTAATCATGTTCGATCTCACTAGTCGATGCACTCTTTATAAGTAATTAAACTCACTCTGTTTCTATTCTCTGCTTTAAAGTTTCATTTCATTTTTATTTCTCGTAATTTATTTCTATTTTTGAAAACACAGTGCAATTGGCTGGTATCGACGAGCCAGAAAATGGAATAAGGTACCGTCTTCTTTAATTTCTGTATATTTATTTAATTTCAGTCCTTTTCGTCTAAGTATTTATGGCTATTACCTAACATTTGGTCATCTCCTCTTTATCTTTTATACTAGTCTCCATTTTTCTTCTTCGTCAATATTACTTTTTTTAGCAAAGACTCTCTGTCAGTCTTCACTTCATACTTTGTTTTATTACTTTCTTGCGTGTTTTAGATTAAAAAAAAAATTTGACCAATGTTCTTGAACGTAATGTAGGCGGCGATTCCAATACTAATTGGTACAAAGTTTGATGATTTTGCTCAGCTTCCTCTTGACATGCAATGGGCTATTGTGAACGAGGTAATTATATAAATTTTAACGAATGAATAGTCAATTACTTCTCTGAAATTCTCCAGAATATAAAAAATTACTGAAGATACCAATTAGCACGGTAAAAATTTTCACTGCTATTGTGAATGACCAATGGTCATTGATTCAAAGTAATTGAAATTCCAGGCTTCACTGTGCAAATATGGAATCAAAAACTAACTTTTCGTACGTTTTTCTTTAGAAATTCCAATCCGTTGTATTTCATAACCTTATTACCTCATAACTTAATTATTAACAATGTGGACTTGTTGATATTTATATTAATGTATCTGGTGAAATATATCCATCAAACATTCGTAGGTTAATTATCCATTACTAATAAAAGGATTACACGTGTTTTTTTTTATATTACTATCTTTATCTTTGGTATCAAAATGGCTATACGTGCCTTTAGTTGGATTTCCCTCATCAAAATGTCTCACTCAGAGTTCGTTCACTAAAAAAACAGAAGTAGAAACGCTTGCAAGTATAGGTTCCTTTCAATTTCCATGTTTGGTCCGAAATTAGATAACTTGTCAAAGCTTCCACATATAGCTATATCTTTCAAGATAGGACATTTTTGGTAACACGGTTTACAAATTGTAACATAAAACCTAAATATGTGATTATTTTGATGCTCAAATATAATTGATTTGGTGATTGTGAAACGTAGTTATTTTCTTCTGATTTTGTGTGTGCAGGCCAGAGCATATGCAAGAGCGATGAAAGCAACACTCTTCTTTTCGAGTGCTACACACAATATAAATGTAAACAAGATTTTCAAGTTCATAGTAGCCAAGATCTTTAACTTGCCTTGGACTATTGAGAGAAACTTAACAATTGGAGAGCCCATCATTGACTTTTAGGCTTATTTTTCTTTTTCCTTCTGCCTACTGTATATATACATAAAAAGCCTACAAGGCTGCTAAATTTATTGTATTTTCACTAATAAAGAATAACTTTCAAGTCATAAAAACGGACAGACTTTAACAGAGAAGAGTGACATGTGTAAATCAGAAATTTTACTTTGTCGGTTGTTGGGTTTTTAAGGCCCTGTTAAATGAGATGTACTAGATTAATTTATTTGGACTCAATCGACTCAAAAGGATCAGTCTTCTTCAAGTCATGGCCCTTAATGTATTTAGTCATATCTTCATCTCACTCTTTTTCCAATGTAGAACTAAATATCACCTCGTGTCTTTTTCTAAAAAATTCGATCGTAATTAAATTAGCACAATGGATACAATATACTTTTTAATAAATCCCCATCTTGACTCATATCCTATCGAATCTCGATTCAAGCTCAACGGCCAGTCTAGTGGCAATTGGAGATAATGTATCAACACAATACTCCGTGGAACAAAAGCATCACACTGTAGTTAAGTGTGACCGGATGTTCATCCACGGGAGCTCTGAACCGCCGCGTTCGACCAAGTTACACAAGGACAAATGTAACGTCGTGTGCGCTCCGTGCTGATAACTCATGAACAGAATCTCAAAGCAATTCACAGAGCATCTAACAAAGGAACGTTGAACACGAACTCATTTTTCCGATTTGTTGAAGTTTTAAAGGCCGATTAAAGGAGATGGGCGAGGCTAATCCACTAGCGCTCAATTGACTCGAAAACATCAATCATACTTAAGTTTTTTTTAAGAAAAGAAACAGGGTGGGCTACCATGTTCATATATGCATTAAAAGGAAAATAGTGAATATACAAAAACTGAGAGTATCTCTGCTGAACTATCAGCTATATGAAAACAAACCAAAAAAACCATCACAGAAGAAAAGCAGCCGAAACACAAGAGGAGAGAAAAGAAACTAAGTTGCTAATTGTCTGAAACACTGAAAAACTCGTGGATCAATGGTCCGCCGAGAAATTATCTCTGACTGCATCATGCGCACATATTTTAGCAATTTCTTCCAGTCCCAAGTTGATGGCAGTCTTGTGAAGTCTACTAGAAGCTCTATTTACTAATGTTCCTAGCCAGAACAAAATGCATCTTGCTACATTAGAAGCTAGTTACTGATTGTTGACTTGAATATCATTAAAAATGAGGTTGTTGCGACTGTTCCATATCAACCAACAAAAACAAGGGAGCATGACTTTCCAAAGAACTTTAAGATTGTAACTGAACAAGGTGTTGCTTTTGATTGAGAAGAAGAGGTACAGATCCTGAGGCCATTGGTCTATATGCACTTGAGGTAGAAGAATAGACAACACTGATGATAAAAATGGACAACTGATGAACATATGATCATGGGTCTCGATGCTTTGATTGCATAAGGGACAACTAGTGTCACCAGTCCATCCTTTATTAGCTAGGTTGTCTCTAGTTTGCAGCTTTCTTTTGCTGAGGATCCAAAAAAATACCTTGACTTTTAGGGGGTTAGGAGATTTCCAAATGAAATTGTATGTTACTAAATCCTAGCTCATGTATGTTTCCAGACAGAACCCCGTACGTCAATCGAATGGATGTGTGTCACATGTTAACCGAGTTCTACATAACGACCAATAGTGTTTTTTTTTTTTTAATTGATTAGAAGGGAGCTGTAGCTCATTACGATGTTTTTCGAGAAAAGGATGAATCGTTGAGCAGTAGCTGTCGTTGACACATAATTAAACCAGAAGCAGGCGAAAAATAAATTGAACAAAGTTTTTTCGATGACTTTTATTATAACAAGCTTTTCAACTTTTGTTTTTGCTGTCGTCGCTGGCAACGGGATCCTGTTCTTGCTTGGGCCAAATCTGCTCATGGGTCGCATTTGCATAGCTAGATCTAAATTAAATAAGCTCGAGGAGAGTAATTGGGCTTACTACGTTTGCTGACAGCCCAACAAAAGAGCCAGCGGCATTTGCGTCGATCGCTTTCATTTCAAACGTAATCGTACGTGGTGGTTGAGATGAAGACGTGTGTATAACCAGCCCCTTTCGTTATATCTTCATCATAGCTTAGTTGAGATAAATTACACGTCGAGGCATTAGGTCTATTCAATTGGATCGAGTCTCTCTATTTGCTACACTCGCTAGTCGCTACACTTTTAAAAGTTCATTAGAAAAAGCGTACTTCTCTTTAAAAACACGAGTTCGGAAAAAAATTTTGGTAGACAAAAATATCCTTAGAATTTAAATATTATTCCATTAAGTAAAAGTAAGTTGATAAATTGATAAATTCTTATTGGATATACATAGTATGAATATAATGATACAATTTAAATTAAAATGTAAATCTAAATAAAATTATTAAATACCAAATTTTTATAAATGTCTACAAAATAAAGGGCGTATATGCAAAAAATAAATAAATTAATGAGATAAATAATGTCTATCCCAAAGGTCGAACCCGGGAACAATGTAGAGTAACAAATTTACATAATGTGGATGAGATATTTACAAAATTTACTAAACAAATTAAAGAGATAAAAGAATTAAGGAAAATAAAAAAATCATACTTCCCTTTAAAAGCATGAGTCCAAGAAAAGTTTTCCATAGTTAAAATTACACTGTACTATTTTAAATATTTAATTTAAATTATAATCTATACTAATCATACTTATATATTATCCTAAAACCCCATGAACTATCTATAGCTCAACAATTTAAATAATATTAATAAAATATATGAAACATCTCAGTACTATCAGTTTATTACATGAAGTAATACAAAAAAAGCAAAAAAGATTTGAAAATTAGACAAAATATTCTTAAAAGTTTAAAATTACACAAAATGAAAAGCTGAAATTTAGAACTTGGCAAAGAAAAGAGTAATTGTGTGATATTTTTTTATTAATATATATAAATATAACTTATAATTTAAAGTGTACTATCCCTTTTTAGAATCTGAAAATAGTCAAGCTGATACTGGTAAAAATAGTAATAATAACAGATTAAAAATATCCAGTTAAATAATAAAAATTTTAAAAAATATATGATAGATTAAAAATTGGTGTTATTGTATAAATTAAAGTAACTGCATATAATTTTACTAATATGTTAGAACACCAAAAATACATAAGTATCACTAATTGATAGAAGACTAAATCACAAAAAACTAGTAAAAGACTATAATGTAATAGCTTAACATTAATTGATTATAATTTATAGATATTGATCTATAATAGTAATAATATTTATTAGGTAACAATTTATAAAGATTTATGTATGGAGAACTATTAGAAAATTTAGAGATATCCTTCAAAAGAATCAAACGGTTTTCATTTCAAATAGAATTCGGAACGTCCGTGAATCACTTCAATTAACACTAACATAAGTTATATTTATCAAAAAAACACCGACTGAAGACCCCTAAAGAATATATTGAACAACTTTGTGCTCATCAAAGAAACATTCCTCATAGAAGATAAAAGAAAAATTACTATACTTTGCGTAAGCAAAAAAAATAAAATCAACATTTTTCTTTTTCTTATATAGTATCACGACCATGCGTGTGACTTTATTTAGGGGTATGACTACTAACGAAGAATCAATTTTTAAAGATACTATCAAAGATAATAATGTAATAGCACAATTAAAATTCAAGATCTATAAGTATGAAGGTAGTATATTTTATAAGTAAAATTCTTATTAAAGGTCACTAAATATAAAATTCACCTTATATCTGTCTTAATTTTATAGAGAAGATATGTGTGTCATCGTAAAATGTGTCAATATAATATATATCAATCCAAATATACAACTTACTGAAGAAATAAGAGAATAGTAAGTAAACCAAGCAAACATTCATATAACACTGTAAAAAATATATTATATTTTAAAGCTAATATGTAGCGCTCCTTTAGAGAAAGCTGCCAAGACAAAAGCATCTTTATTAAGGCTCTTTATAAATACAACATAAATTCAAATTACTAATATATACAACCATTATAACAATTGAAAGAGGTATGATCTTAGAAAACCTACTCCAAAAATCATATAATTAAACCTAGGAATAATTTACCAATATACAGACACACTATCGCACCTTTAAGACAATGATAACTACCATTTATAATAGAGTTGAGCAGTGATTCTATGTTTGCAAAGGCTGCAATAAGAAAGTAGATAAAGATGTTAATAATAAGTGTCCATATGATAAATGTTGTAGAATCACCGATGATTTAGTACCAAGGTTAAGTGATATCCCTTCTTCATGAAATAAATATATCAAAATTAAATATTAATATTATAATCTAAAATAAATTAACAATAAAAAATGTAATGTATTTAGTTCAGATCCTCATGGAAAATGACACATGCAAAGCAAATATAACATTATGACACAACAAAAATTCTTATTGGATGCATAACAAAAAAATTCATTGCAGAGAAAAAAGAGGTAGCTCCTAACCTTATTTAAGTAATAAATTAAAAGCATAAAAAATTTCATATATATGAAATTAATATTTATTCTTATTGAAATAGGAAAAAATTAAAGTCTGTATTGTCAGAAGTTTGTTTTGAATATAAGAAATATATTCAAATTCTTTGTGAATTTAGACGAGAAGACAAAAGATGTATGAGCCCAGGGAAAGATAACATGCTCCAGTCTCATATCAAAATCGATATAGACGATGAAGACACTACTACTCTAGAATTGGCTAGGAAAAAGGTAAAGATGAAGAATAATTGATCTCGACTCAATAAAAAATAAAATAGAAGTAACAAAAGATAATGTTTTGTGAATTGTTATAGAATAGTTTTATTTTTTAGTAAAATTAGGAATCTTTAGATGGGATTTATTTTAGTGCTTTCATATGCATATGTGGATGTTTTTATCATATAAAAGTATACTAGAGTTAGCATTAATCTTCAGTTTATGATTTTTTCATTAACCATTTTCTGTCATTTTGGCCCATTTTAAATCAATCATCTTAGCATTAATCTTCTTCTTTTTTAAATATAACCTTATACATTGTTACTAGCACTCAATATTGTAGGGACCGGTTTCTTAAATTTACAAGAAGTAGGGGCCCGATAGCAATTGGAAGGACTAATCTTGGAGCTACTAGTAAGAACTGTGGGGACCGAATATCAATTCGATTAGAGGTGCTAATCTAAAATATCGAAGTTGTCAAGGACTAATGTCAATGAAAATCCTAGTTTTACCGAAATATTATACTTTCTCCAGAAAAACTTATTGCAAATCAATTTATAATTCCAGAAACCTATGGATAAGTCTCATGGTCAGGAAAATTTCGGGTTAAGTTCACAAAAACCATTGAACTTTGGGGTGTTGCTGTAATACCCCAACCCTTGAGAGGGTGATGTGATTAGTATTGATACATTTGATTGGAATACTCATACCACCAAGATGCATCTTCTTTTCGGGAACCCAACTCTTAGAAACTCCAAAGTTAAACGTGCTTGGCCTGGAGAAATTCTAGGATGGGTGACCACCTGGGAAGTTTTCCAGGGAATGCGATTTGTGAGGCCAGTCCATCAGATCTAATAGCAACCTCTTTGAATTTTATTTATCTCGCGTAACCTTTATGAACTTTGTGATGTTTCAACCATCCCTCACAGGCTTGTAACTTTTCTCATCCAAGCCTCTCAACATGTAATTTGCAAATAACTAAAATTTAAGTGAGAGAAAATAAAAATAAAAAATTTTAGGAGAGTATGTATGATATTTGTAGCTGGCAAATGAAAAAAGTTGAGAAATTTTTCTTGCAAGAAAATTTTTAGTTATTGTAAAGTACATGTATAAGGACAGATGGGAAAAGTTGAAAGCTAAAGGGGGTTTCGTGTGACACCCCAACGTTCACGGGGTTATGTGCTAAACAAAATTGAGGAGGTTATGTGCAATAATCCCCAAAGTTCAGGGGCTTATGTGAAATTAACCTCAAATTTTTCTTCAAAATAACTATAATCAGAGATATTAATATGAGGGAATAATTTTTTTTTAAAAGGGAAAGAAAGACTAATCCATGCTCCCAAGGTCTCAATCAAGCCAATTCATCCCCTACAAGTTTGTTTCCAATCACCGCAACATCATATGGGTACGTACACGTATCAAATCTTCACGCCCCAATTTATTAGAAAAAAAACGGGTCAGGATCCGATAAGGCGATGACAAGATCCACTAGTCCTGGCCACCTTAGTACATCCAGCTTCAACGCTGCATCCAACCAAAGATTCAGAACCCCACGATCCCCAACTCACCTCCGGTGACCACACCGTGTCTCATCCATAAAACCTCACACACCCCCGAGTCCGCCCACCGCTTGAAACGCAGACCAGAGCCAATGGCCGCCTCTGTTTCAACCGCCAAAACCCCAAGTGTCGGTTTCGGCTCTTCAGTTCGTGGACAAGGATTGGCCCAGAGTTTCGAGAAATTACGGATGGGTCCTCAAGGGATCAGATCACCACCTCAGTCGTCGGCGATCTCGTGCGCGATGACGAAGGCGTCAGCGGTGGCCGTTGAGGAGGCGGACACGCGGACACGGTGCAGCTCCGGCCGGATTCATTTGGGCGCTTTGGGAAATTTGGCGGGAAGTATGTACCTGAAACCCTAATGCACGCGCTCACTGAGCTTGAAGAGGCGTTTCATTTGCTAGCTAAAGATGAGGAGTTCCAGGTGATTTTGACTTCTTTAGGGTTTTATTTACTATGGTATGATAAAAAGATGGAATTTTGATCAAAATTGGGATGTTTTATTAGGGATTTGTATTATTATTATTATTATTATTATGTTTTTTGTTATGTTTTTTGTTATTTGATACTATGATAAGTAGTTTGTGGATTTTATTGTTAATTAATCTGTTGCTCTTGTTCTTCTGATGATGGGCTGTTCTGTAGGAGATGGATTTGGGATGAAATTGGGTTATTATTGTTTAATTTTTTTAATTTTTATTAAGAAAAACAGGTTACGGTATCATTGAGAGACTTAGAAACTAACACGTTATAGTGATTTTTCTCAAAAAAAAAAAAAAAAACACGTTATAGTGACATTTGATTTATTTTTGGAAGACAGTTCATCGGTTGGTCACATTTTCTTTAAAAAAAGAAAAGACTTGGTCTTTTGTTTATATTTTTTCATTGATAAAATGGTTTGCCCAAAAAAGAAAAAAAAGAGGTTGACTTTGTTTGAAGATGTTTTAGAATCGAAATGTTCGATTCTGACTGTATGTTTATAATCTGATAACCAGAAACTTATGTTGCTTGTGAACAGCCAATGCTGAATTTGAAGGTCTAACTTTACCCATCTGATATTTGATAGGTAGCGTGATTATGATACACAAACTCTATTTTCAGATGTCTGTGGATTTCTGTTCTGAGTTTATCCTTCATGTAGGGTCAAGAACGTGTGGGTTTTAGTACATTATTTATTTTTTCTACATTATTGTTTGACTAGTTTAACAAACTATAACCATCAGAATTTCGCAACATATTCATATATGGTCATTAGAAACATTGCAATTTTTTCTTTTAGGAGGCTTAGGAGGCTTTAAACTAAGGTAAGAGAAGTTTGAGGGGTGCTTTTGGAAAGGAGATTTTGGAGTGTGAGCGAACTTCAACAATGATTTGAGATGAAATGTGAGCCTTTTGCTGACCAAATCGTTCAAAACTTAGATCTATTAACCTTAATCTGTAAGACAATTTAGTAGTATATAAACTTGTTCGTCTATTCTGAGCCATTGTTCTTTGTACATTTGTGCTTGTTATGTTTGTGTTAGCAAAATATCTTCCGACTTGTACTCGCCAATTTGGTGTATAAATTATTTTTATCTCTTATGCTTTTTTCTAAATTTATTTACATACTTGCTTTGCTTTTTCTTGCTCTACAGAAAGAACTGGATGGAATTCTGAAAGACTATGTTGGTCGTGAGAGCCCACTTTACTTTGCGGAACGGCTCACAGATCATTACAGACGATCTAATGGTGAGGGCTCTCACATATACCTCAAAAGGGAAGATTTGAACCACACCGGAGCCCACAAGATAAACAATGCCGTTGCACAAGCTTTATTGGCCAAGCGTCTTGGAAAGAAGAGAATAATAGCTGAAACAGGAGCTGGTCAGCATGGAGTTGCAACTGCTACTGTGTGTGCGAGGTTTGGTTTACAATGTATTGTTTACATGGGTGCTCAAGATATGGAGAGACAGGCCCTCAATGTCTTTAGGATGCGTCTTCTTGGTGCAGAGGTCAGTAATAAGAATGTTGCTAAAAGCATCTCTTCGCTTCTGTTTATTTCTATGTCTAAATATTAGGTGAAGGTTGTTTGTGCTTTAAAAAATAGAGTAAATTTCACAAAACCCCCATAATCCCCCCAACCCCAACCCCAAAAAAAATCCTTCCCCTCCCTGTTGATATTTCAAATTTAGAGAAAGCCCTCTGAGCTATTGGACAATCTCGTAAACAATGTTAATCGGTAAAGGTCTAAAAATCTGACCTGGTTGTGTGCATATTGAAGCAGGAGTATTTTTTTTTTCAAGATCCCTTTAGATAAAACATGAAGCCAGGCAATGATATATTCGATTTATTTCCCATCAAATATGTCTAAATTTGGTTTGAGCTTGAGTCAGAAAGCATTTTATTGAAATTTACATTCTTAAAAATTTCATGGAGTTTTATAATAAGACTGTGAAGATGACATGTTCTTTTATGTGGCACTTGCTATAATTTTGGTTATACGCTTGCAAAAGCAGGATTTAAAACCTAGACAATGGCACGCTCCAAATAATCTCTAGCAATGTGCTATTAGTTGAACTTGTAGGACATGTTTAATTGTTATTCAGTAGACTCCATCTTCTCCGCTGGTTTTTTTATTTTAATTTTTTAAATGTTAAAACTCTTTGTTATTTCAATCAAATATCTAAGCCTCTTACGGATTATAATATATATGCATTTTATCATGTCCTATCCATAGTTTTAACACAACTCCTTTACAGGTTAGAGGAGTTCACTCGGGAACTGCAACTCTAAAGGATGCAACATCTGAAGCTATAAGAGACTGGGTCACTAATGTTGAAACAACCCATTATATTCTAGGCTCCGTTGCAGGTCCCCATCCTTACCCGATGATGGTAAGAGAATTTCATGCTGTTATCGGTAAAGAAACAAGAAGGCAAGCAATAGAAAAATGGGGTGGAAAGCCCGATGTTTTAGTTGCTTGTGTAGGCGGAGGTTCAAATGCAATGGGCCTTTTTCATGAATTTGTTGATGATGCTGATGTTCGGTTGATTGGAGTTGAAGCAGCAGGGCATGGTATAGACAGCGGTAAACATGCAGCAACTTTGACTAAAGGGGAAGTTGGGGTTTTGCATGGAGCTATGAGCTACTTGTTGCAGGATGATGATGGGCAAATTATTGAACCTCATTCAATAAGTGCAGGGTTAGTTGGATCCTCATTTATTGTTACTAATTTTTATGCACGTGTAAAGCACGTGGTTAAATATCAAAATAATTTATTTTTTTATTTTATTACTATAAATAAGTCGGATTCATTTTAGTTATTAGATCTATAATTTTTATTTAAACATTATAAAAAATTGATGTAATGGATTTTTGTGCTAAATTGGGATCAATATACTTAACTGGGATATCATAATTGATTTCCACAAAAAAATATCAGTTGACATAATAATATCCTCAAGTAGAATAGTAAAATAAAATAAGTTAAATTGATACTACATGTCATAATCTAAACTCTATTAAACCCAAGCTATAATATGGAGTCAATGATGAATAACAATATCATTATGAACTAAAGTTCTAGCAATAAAAAAATATCATTTCTTATTGCATTGAAAATAGAATTACACTGCACTTTTCAACATTATAAGCTCATGTTTTATAATAAACAATCTCAAAAGCAAACATAAAAAAAGTACGATAAACATGATATATATATATATATATATAAATGTTCAAAAAATATTATCATTTATTCTTTTTGTTTCATATTTTAATTGAGTCGAGATCAATCTTTCTTCACCTTTATCTTTTTATTGGACAATTCTAGAGTAGCGTCTTCATCATCTACATCAATTGTGATATCATGTTGGAGTTGAATTTCTTAAAAATAATCTCTTTAAATAATAAAGTCCAACACCAAAATCAACCCATTTGTCTTCTGCTCCCCCTCAAAAACCATAACCCTAATCCATGAAATGGGTTTGTACATAATAAAGAACAAAAGACAATGTCAAGAGATAAAAAAGAACAAAGAAGGAATTGAATAAGAATCGCTAGGTTTGTACGATAAAGAGCGAAAGACAAGATAAGAGTCCAGAAATATATTAAGATATACTTGGATCAATTAAATTATATTATTACTCATAATTGATATGCAAAAGAGACAAAATGTGTTGATAATATTAAACTATAAAACCTACTATATGCTCTCTAATATAATTTTTAATGCAAGCAACCCCCAAGATTAATTTTGAAAATCTCTTGGTTTTATGGAGGAGTTTGGGTGTAAAGAACAAATATTAAATTATCTAATCCGATTAAAGTAGGATCATATAAGTTAACCCCATATATAAATTTTATTTTAATCAAAACCTATATATAAGTATTATAATTGGCATTGAGATCAAAGATATATGTGAGATTCTTTTTGACTTTTATACAAACAATATCTATTTAAATAATAATAGTATAATTAACTTTGTGATCTGAAAAGAAATCAATTAAGCATACAATATAATTAATTATTTTAAAATAATTTAATCTAATCTAATAATAAGAAAATAGATGAAAGTATTGTGGAAGTTGTTGCAATTTTATAATTTATAATTCTTAAACAATCTAATCTATTCTAATAAGAAGAAAATAACAAAGACACGTACTTGTTGAAGGAGATAAAAGTACTATAAAAATTATTATAATTTCTTGATCTGGAAAAAAAAATTAAATATACAATATAATTAATTATTTTAAAATAATGTAAGCTAATCTAATAACAAAGGCACATGCCTGTAGAAGGAGATAAAAGTGCTATAGAAATTATTGTAATTTCTTGGCTTATATATATTGGTATATGATGTTACATGTGAAAGGATAACAATTATAAATAGAGTTTTATTTAAATAATAATAGTATAATTAAATTTTGAAACTAACTATGCAGTTCTTTGAACTACTTTAATTTTAGTCAGTGAGAGATCGTCACATTGTGTGTAATTATTAATCATATAGCATGTGAATAATTATTTGCAGATTGGCATTATTAATCATGTAGCACGTGAATAATTGTTTACAGTTTGATCATTGATCACATATAAGAGCGAGAGGGTAAATTTGATATTTAATAAATCGTCTAATTAACTTAAGCGTATCATGAACTACTTGAATTTTAGTCAGTGAGAGATCGTCACGTTGTGTGTAATTTCTAATCATATAGCATGTGAATAATTATTCTCAATTTGGCATAATTAATCATGTAGCACATGAATAATTGTTTGCAGTTTGATCATTGATCACATATAAGAGCGATGGGGTAAATTTGACATTTAATAAATCGTCTAATTTAGCTAAGTTGCTCTTTCATTCAGATTTACGTTTTAATTTAAACTATATCATTATCTTCATACTATGTATATCCAATAAGAATTCATCAATTTATCAACTTTATGTATATCCAATAAGAATTCATCAATTTATCAACTTACTCTTACTTAATGGATTAGTATTTGAATTCCAATGGTATTTTTGATTCATCAATTTATCAACTTACTCTTACTTAATGGATTAGTATTTGAATTCCAATGGTATTTTTGTCTACTAAAAGATTTTCTCAAACTCGTGCTTTTAAAGAGAGTATGATTTTATTAAAAAAATTGTTCTCATGTTTTTTTAATTACTAGATTGGATTATCCTGGTGTTGGACCAGAACATAGCTTCTTGAAGGATATAGGACGCGCTGAATACTATAGCGTCACTGATGAAGAGGCTTTAGAAGGTAATGTCATTGTAGTATCTTATCGTAGATATTGTTAGATTTTCTGGCGATATTTTTTATGTTATAGATTCATAGAATAATTCAGAAACTTTACTAGAATCACCTTATATACAGTGAATATGTATACTATGGATTGTCTTTACTAACTTACCTTTCTTAGATATCAGTTTTTGCCTTCAGATCCCATGTGTTGATTACCCTCATCAATTAATCAGAGACCTCGCAAAAGAGGGAGTATCCTGGTGCTCATTGGTCCATGACATTAATGATGCATCAAACAGATATTGATTGTTGGATCAGTTCATAAATCCCGTCCTCGTTTGATGGTCGAAGGTAGATATCTTTTTGGTGATGTCGTGAAGAATATTAGTTGTTGGATTAGTGCACAAATTCCAATGATCAAAGGATTGATATCACTTAGGTGCATCATTAATGTCATGTACCAGGAGCACCAGATACTTTCTCAAACGCCTCTTGCTTACAATTAATTTGCTGCCACATCCTGCATCCACCCATTTCGTCAAGATCTCCCACTTTTTCTAACTATACACGGGCCTTTTGCCTCTTTAACATTTAATCTTTCATCGAGTCCAAAGAAGCTGTTCTCGAGTGATGGTACACCATAAAAATCTAATAATAGTTACACTCCTAATATATGTGTCTGCTAATCAAATTCTTTGTTATTCAGCATTCAAACGTCTGTCAAAATTGGAGGGTATCATCCCGGCTCTTGAAACATCCCATGCTCTGGCCTACTTGGAAAAGCTCTGCCCAACTTTGCCCGACGGCACAAAGGTTGTTCTTAACTGCAGTGGAAGAGGAGACAAAGATGTCCAAACTGCTATTAAATACCTAAAGATGTGAGTCTTAAATCAAATGTCGCGGTAATAAACAAATGGATATGAGGAAATAAACGTCCATTGATTTGTTGTTTGGTGTTACTTGTGTAATTTATATAGACTGTCAGTGATGTTTTAGTTTGCTCCATTTCCTTGATGCTTGTTTCGTTTGCTGATTTGGTTGCCTTGGAATTCTGAAGTTTATAAAGGATAATCTGAAGCTTGATTGATTGTTCCTCTGTTGTTCTCAAGGATATCAAGGGAAAAGTGAGTCTCACAACAAGGAGAGTTCAATCATAACTAATATCTGTAATCAAAAGTTTTCTATTGGTTTTTGATGGAAAGTTTGACCAGAAAATTACACTGAAATTGCTCCTGTGATTGGATTCAATATTTAACATTTTTAGCAAATTTTTCGTCCTACTTTTAGAAAATGAAAGATTTGGGGGGAATTTTATTTTGAAGAAAGTGAGTTTTGTCGTTCCAGAACCTGGTCTTCTCATGTACAGAAGCCGCTCATACTTCTGGCTAAATCAGTTGCACAAGAATCCTCTGTTCTTAAATTAGATTAGATTAAGTCGAAAAGATTGACCATTTTTTTAGGCGAGCATCTACCAAATGTGAAAAATTGAACGGATTTGAAAAATGAAACGGATTACGAGACCAGCGAGAAGATTGACCAATTTTATTTTATTTTATTTTTGTTTATTTATTTATTTTTTATTTTATTTTTTGGCAAGCATCTTACATCTACCAGATGTGAGAAATGAAACGGAGCAGTTTGACATGGCACCAAATTTCCGTAGGGATTTTTAAAGACGTTTGGGGTCACATTTGACAAGGGTTAAGAAAGAATGGTTAAAGAGAATGATTAATGTATTTAGCCCATTCAATAATATGAAGAACTAAATTATTAACCTGTTAAATCAATTTTATTTTAGCCCTTTGATCAATTTAGTATTTGGGAATAACAATGATTTTAACTATTTTTTTATAATTAGAAGGGTTAACTCTTAATCATTCTAAATAAAAGTATTAGTAAACCCCTCATTTTTAGGGATTAACTCATTTTAATCCCTCTAGAGGAGTTAGCTTAACCCTTCTATATTTTTTATGTTTGACAAATTATGAAAAGTTAACTCACTTTAACCTTTGTATAAATTTTTTATGTTTGGTAGGTTAAAAATGTGTTAAATCTCCTTAACCCCTCACTTAACCCTTTGCCAAAAGGTATTTTAATTGTTTATGATAGCCACTTGAAATTGTTGGATCCTAATAATTTAGCGTGCATCTCAAGGGGCTTTTAATCAGGAAGTTTTGTTGAGTACAAGAGTGTTTACTTTTTTCCTTGATCCTGTAAATATTCGGCACAAACCCATTTTTTTTAATCCTGTAATTAATCAACACAAATCATCATAGTTATGAACTTGCAACGACCCAGCATCCGTTGAACTCTGAAATTCAACCAAACTATGAAACGCGGCTACGATGAGATAACCTAGAATCTCAAGTAATCTAGCGAAATTCACACAGCAAACTTCCAAATTGAAATATATACTGAGATTCATCACCAAGCAAGAAAATCCAAAGGAAACAAAGTAAACATATCTGCCAAGAATTTTTACTGCATGGTCCCAGTCTCACCACACAAGATAATGGCAAAATGACAGCAAGAAGAGTTTACAGATCCACCTCATGACAAGGACAGTGCCAAAACTGAAGCCGTCCATGTATTCTTATTGACTCTATGTGAGAACTAAAAAAGAACAGTAGGAAGAAAAGAAAAAGAAATTATAAGCTGGCCATAACTTAAAGATACACTTTTCCTGTCGCAAGCAAGTTTGCTACCATGGTAAAAACCACGATTATTATTCTAATTAACCCATGTTCCTTTCTTTATATCTACAACAAAATGAAGCTGCTGCTTGCTACTGAGCCTTCTCAAAATTGAGTTTGCCGTTGGTATTCCACACCAGCTACATAGAGTTAATAACGTACGTAGATTATAGACCTCCAAGATTGGTTCTCTACTTGATAGAGATCCCCATCTCTCACTGCTTCGCCTGCAAAACAATTTGCAAAATCATTAGCCAGCAGCAAAAAAGTAATCTGAATATTTTCATTACTACACGCTGCAAAGCCTCTTGGCAAAGAAAGACTTCTGATTGTCCAGCACTAACAAAAGGGTCTAGATAAAAGATGAAGATGGGTCGTGAGTGAGACGGTGTATAATCTCTCAGGTGCTAAATAGCGTTTATAGATGATTATTGCCTTCCTATGATTAGGTTAGAATGACTCAGCGTCTGTATAGAAAACACCAAAAGGGTACTGCAAGTATGATTGCTATGTTCCCACTTGAACAAAATAAAAAAAAGAAGTATATCATGGCAGAGAAAAAAACTATACTTCATAGTAAACAAAGGGAGGCACATTTGAGGTTACGTTTACAAAATGCCTTGTTAAACTGACTAAAATTTTCATACATCCACCTTAGGTTCAAAATTAAATTAAAAAAAAGTAGTAGTTAGCAAGTACATATCGATCCTTTTTCAACAACCATTTTTTTGATAGATCTGAAAAGTCAATGTGATGACCACCAACTTTCTAACATGTCTTAGAATGACGATAACACAAATTTTATCTGGCGAAACAGAATGGTTCTGAAAACAAAAACTATGAACTAACCCACACATAGCTATTATAAGCAATTTACTGCGATGAGCACATTATCGAAAGTGAGAAAAGGAACCCATGTGATGGAAACTTGATTATTTATATACCTATAGTTCCACATTGAAATGATTTTATTTAAAATGCATAAACTTTCTCCTTTATGTCAATTTAACACTTTTGTCAGTTAAGAAAAAATTTCTAGCACATAGAAAATTCTCCCGTTAATATAAACTCTCAGGACCCTAATTCCCCAATCATCTAGTCTCTAAAATTTCACTACTTCTGTTTTGACCTATGAAAAAATGCTCCCAAGATGAACAATTCCGTAAAATTTGAAAAAAAAAATACTTCCAAGTTTTCTTATGGTCAGTTTTCCACCACAAATTTGCAAAATCAGTAACAGATTCTTTGATACTCAAGCATTATAAGAATACAAACAAGTTTTGCATAAACAAAAAAAAATTGGCTGTCCTAATATTTTAGTGGTGAACCAATGAAATCAAAAGGGACAGGGAAGGGACCACATTAATTAGGGAATGTGCATGTCAGGCATGAGCTTGTAGCAATTTTTTGCACTAGAGAAAACATAAAGGACAGATACTCTATAATGTCCTAAGCCTCCTAACAAAAGAAGTGGGTAAGATATCTTGCATTATTAGCTTTCCTTGATAAACAAAAAAGACAGATAATTTAGCTAAAGGCATCAGTAAGCAATTAGCAGAGAAAAACTCACAAGGACAAAAAACATTAGGCCTTTAGCATAAAAGCATGGGGGGGTTTCAGTCATTTCGGGTATGTGCAGTATTATGTTCCCTTTTTCACACCCCCAAAAGAAATGTCAGAGAACTTACCTGGGAGTAAAGGAAGGTGCCAAGGATGGCGATGGCTGCTCCAAGGGCGTTTACAGGTTGGACAGGCGTATGGAAGATTATAATGGATGAGACAATGACTGATATCCGCTTCATCGTGTTGCCAATGCTAAACGTCAATGGAGAGATTTCGTCTAATGACATGTAGGAGACCTGGTTGTACAAGTGGTAGAAAATGCTCTGAGCTGCTACCCACCTAGCAAGTGCCAAGACTGTGTTTCAGAGCCACAATTTATTGATACTGATGAATTAACAACAATGAATGTAAAGATAACTTGTGAAGCAAGTTAGTGCAAATTTCTTTAAATTACAGTTAACTGGTTAAGCAAGATAAGTAAAGTAGTATATGATTGCATGTCCAAACATAGAATACACAAATTTCATAAGCAACTGTTACTCACAATCATCTGAAAACGAAAAATTTGTAGTTGACTGATTTGTTGGTACATATTCTGTGTCTTACAACTTCAAAGTGCATATATATAATATATATATATATATATATATATATATATATATATATTATATATATATATATATATATATATATAGAGAGAGAGAGAGAGAGAGAGAGAGAAATATGGAGAAACTTAGTACCAAGTTTCTCCATTGAACTTGGTAGTGAGGTGGCCAAATCCCCACCCTACATCACGCCTCGAAGAGAGAGACTCACCTAGTTTTTAAAAAATAGCTCCATCTTCGAGGCGTGATGTAGGGAGTGATTTGCCACCTCACTACCAAGTTCAATGAAAAAACTTGGTACCAAGTTTCTCCATATTTCTCATATATATATATATAGAGAGAGAGAAATATGGGTATGCTTGGTACCAAGCACAAAAAGTTGTGGCTTGGTAGTGAGGTGTCAAATCCCCCTCCACTCATTCAAATGTGAGAACAAATTCACATGGGTATTGAGTGGATGGGGATGTGACACATCACTACCAAGCACAAAATTTGTGCTTGGTACCAGCATACCTATATATATATATATATATATATAGAGAGAGAGAGAGAGTGTGAGAGTGAGAGTGAGAGAAATGGGTATGCTTGGTACCAAGCACAAAAAGTAGTGTTTGGTAGTGAGGTGTCACATTCCCCTCCACTCATTGAAATCGGGCCCCATACTCACATGGGTTAGGAGTGCGTGGAATGACAATGAGTGGATGGGAATGGACACCTCACTACCAAACACCAAATTTGTGCTTGGTACCAAGCATTCCCATTTTTTCATATATATATATATATATATATATATATATATATATATATATATATATATATAATATATATATATATATATATATATATTATATATATATATATATATATATATATATATATATGAATTGAAGCAAAACTATTCGGAGTAAAATTTCTTAAAAAAATTTAATTTTCTTAGGAACCATCACAAAAAATCTAGAAAATCATTTTCATTCTAATTTCCAATGACCAGGCTTGCCTCATACTTAGCACAGAATTAATTTCAATAAATACCATCTTAAGTTGAATTGGCAGGTTGATTTCTTCAACAGGGATAAATAAAATCTAAGTTACTAACTGAGATATTGAGATTTACCAGATGATCTGGGGACCAATCTGTGACAATGCATTATCCCAACCAGCTGCCCACATCTTGGGACCCTCCACAGCAATTGCAAATGGAGTGAGAATTACTAGAGACAGCATAGAGAGGCAAGCATAATAATTCATCCCACTAACTGACTTCCCTTTCATCCCCTTCTTGGAGAATATGTTTCTAAATACAAATGCAATATTTGATATCATGGCACCCATAAAACCTGCAATCACGAAAAACCACGATGGACATTTCACAGGACCTTAGAAACAGAATTAAGCTAAGAGATGTAATAAAGAAACTTCTTTTGCAACTAATTGTTACAAAACAAATCTACAACAAACAAAAGGACTCTCAAAAACACTCCTCAAAGAATAGGGTCAACCCTCGAATGAGCTCTCCAGAAAAATGCAAGCAAACAAAATTGGTTGTGAAAGGCAAGATTAAGAACTGTCCTTCATAAGCAACACTGAATTCACATGAATTCTCTAGAAATCACACAAAAATCTCAAAAGTCTGCTAGATGCCAAGCATAATTCAATGAAGACCCGTGTTGCCAAAGCTAACACTCCATTCTCTTTTTGACCAACTTTAATATTTAAATTCAAAATAGTCAGCATCAAATTTTAATAAACAGAATATGACCACTAGTAAGCATGTAAAAGAAGAAATCTTCTCTATTTTGAATTTCCATAAATCTTCGTTCTTAAATGTAGTGGTAAATTAATTTGATCCTTTCCCAAAAAAACTTGGCTAAATAGCACTTAAACACCTCATAGTTTCACTCACTTAGCACTTACATACCCTCACTTGTTTTTCATAGCATTAATATACCCTAAATTGTTTAAAATTGGCATGTTAATTCCCTCAACCATGCAAACATGAAAATTTTCATCCGAATGTTCCTCTATGATACTTACTAATTATAGAGCTTTTTAAGTATTAATATTTGTGATATTTACTATTAAACCTACCAAAATTCTACTTAAACTTATCTTAATTCTACTTTAAATTAGAGTTGGAACGTTTGAAGATAAATTTCACAAACTTTAATGGTTAGAAAGCTTTATAATTAGCCTGTGAGTATTAGAGGCCCATTCTGGTGAAAATTTTCACGTTTGCATGATAACGGGTGCCAACATACCAATTTAACAACTTATATATAAATGCTACGAAAAAAAGTGAGGGTATGTAAGTGCTAAGTGAGTGAAACTATTGAGGTATTTAGGAGCTATTTGGCCAAACATTTTCAATGATGAAATAACTAAAACTCAGAAAGCGTCAAAGCTAGCATCACCTACATCTACTTCGATTAGACAGAATACAAAGCCAAAGAAAACTCATTTTCAAACAAAACAGCAAGTGAAATTGTCAGCTTAAGCATCAGAACCTTCACGAAACATAAATTCAGCACAATTCTGTCAATTTACATAATCTCTTCTCCTCATTATTCATGATAAAAGTAAAATAGCAACTAAGAACACTAGAGGCAGTAGATCAATCAACTGTGTTCCTTACCAATCATGTTAAAGTTGAGTTCAGTCACCGCAGCTAAGGCACAACCTCCGATGATCGGCAACAATGAAAGGTAAACCTGAACAGGGAAGGTCTCTCCCAACAAGAACCTAGAAACCAAAACACTGAATGCTGGCTCTCCGCTCTTAATGATGTGGGTGAATGACACCGCCACCTTAGACATACTCACAGTTGCCGCCACATGCCCAATTGTGTGAGCCACGGCCACCTAACCAAACCCAAGAACAAATTTTCAAATTTTAAACAATCAATTTAAAAGCAAGTATTATTTCCGAGCTAATTCAACGAGGAAGGAATACTTATACACCAGTAAAATGATAAAATAACACTCAGACCATGAATAAACATTTACATGCAAGATAACAAAATAGATATTAAATTACAATTCAAACGTGAAAGATTTCAGAAACGAAAACTAGAACATAATGTTAAACAAATAATCAAATTAATCTGGCGGAATACATGCCAAAAGAAACCCATAGAAAAATCACTTTAAAAAATAAAGAAAGAAAATTGTTGGTTAATCGGACAATTCGTCCCTAGTGGAGCGCGTGAATGAATCCTAAATAATTCGTAGCCACTGATTTTCAGTCAACCCAGCATAAAAGATTCCAATGTTTAAACCCACAAACCAACACCGAAAACCCCAGAATTTTTGTCCCCTAATTTTTCTCTTCAAACTATCTAAATAATTTTAAAATCACTAAAAAGAAACCTTACGCATAATCAGAAGGGCAAGAAAAATCCCCATCAGAAACGAAACAAAATCAAGCAAAAATTTAATCTAAAAAATCACAAGATATCATAAAATTATCCCCTAATAAATCGCCTCAAGGATTCCTAGATAATTTACAGCCACAAGTTCTCACTCAAACCAGCATAAAGAATCCAACTTTTAAACCCACAAACCAACACCAAAAACCCCAGAATTTTCATTGCTCAATTTTATTTAAAAAAAAAACCTAATATAACTGTAAAATCACGAGTAAAATCAAATCAAAATTAACTTAACAAAACTCCTCACCGGAGCAAGAGCTTTCCAAAAGTCAAAATCAGTCTTAGGCGTCTCAGCGATCCTCAGAGCCCACGAGATCAACATCATCAACGATCCACAAGCAAGCGACAGCGTCGACGTCAGCCAAGGGTAAGGAAAAGCGTTGAGCACTTTCTTATTATAGATGTTGAACACCACGTTCAGGGCCCACCACGTCGCAAAATAAACCCCGATCTTGGCTTTCTGCGCCGCCGCGGATCTCGCCTCAGCATCGTCGATCGCAAAACTCTCAGATCGATCGGCCTCATACGCCTCGGCCTTGAACGAATCATCTTCCCTCTTCTTAAGAGATCGAAACCCTAGCTGATTCAAAGGAGTTAGGTACAGAGGCCTTGATGATGATGAAAGAAGCGAGAATGGTTGAGTTTTTGAGGGCAAAGCGCAGAATCGAGTTGATCGAGATACGATTGCATTAGATCGGACGAGATCGGAGACGGCGACGGAGGCCGGAGATTGCTTGATTGAGCTGATCATCTTCCTCTTGATTCCGATTAGGGCTAAAGAGCGATTCTTTTGAAGATGTAGCGGCGATTGAAACGAGGGGATCAGCGGCGATAAAAACTAGGGTTAATAATTCTAAAACCCTGAGAAAACTACAAAAAACTGTTTTTTTTTTCCTTCTCGGAATCGTAACAAAAATGTAGGAGCGATATTTGACGAAGAGAAATAGGTGAAGTTTGGTGGCGTATTATAGTAAGCGGGAAATGGGGGAGAGGAAGTTAGGTGAGGGTTCCCGGAATGCCCCTGATGCCCTTTTTGGGAAGAATGAGAAATTTTCGGTGGACCTTTTTGGGTTCACGAGAACGTTATTCGGGGGGAAGGTGGCGGCTTTTAGAAGGTGTGGAACGGCGGAATGGGGGAGAGGTCAGAAGCTAACGTAGTTTATGTTGAATTAATAAATAAACAAGTAGAGAAACAAATATTTGTAAAACATATTCATATCTATTTTCCCCTATTTCTTTTGTAACTTTTTGTATTTCTTTAAGAAAAATATATGCATGTTTGATAGTTGCTTTTTTTCGCTTAGACTAGGTTTTATGCACGTGCAATGCACGTGATCAAATATCATGATTAAGTATATTTGGTTTATTTCCTTACTAAAACTTGTTCATCGGTTCCACTTTGATGTTTGTTGTTTACTTATATCTTTAAACTTTAGCATTGTGATTATTTATTTTCTTTAATATTCGTTTAAATGAACTACACCCAATTTAAATTTTTATATTGATAATTGAATTGACATGAAATAAATGTAATCCGAAATCAATTTGAATTATCATGTCATTGAGACCAACATGAAACCAAGCTTGACCTGAGAAAATATAGCATTGTAAAAGTGAAAAACACTTCAAAAAATAGCGTTCTAAAAGGAATATGAATAATTAAAGCTCATAAGACAAGATGATTAGTTAAAAATGGGCTAAAATGACACAAAATATAATATGAAGTTTGTTTCTAATCCTTGATAGACTTTAAAAAATTATAAAATAAAGATTAATACTAAATCTAGTATACTTTTATATAATGAAAACATCCACATAAACATATAAAAGTACTTAAAAAGTTTATGAAAATCCCTTCCAAAAATTCCAAATTTACTCCAAAAAAACCTATTCTATAAAATATTCAGAAAATAGTGTCTTTCATTCCTTCTGTTTTATTTTTTATTGAGACGTTATCAATCCTTCTCCACCTTTATCTTTTTTGATAAAATTAGACTACTTTTAGATGCCAAAAAAGTATAGTAAAACCTTAAAATAAAAGTTAAATTTACATATCTTAATGAAAGAATATCAAACAACTACTCTTTAAATTTTTTTTGCTATGTTTTGAAATTTTAGTCGCTTTTTCGTGAATTTGAATTTTTAAGGGTGTGTTTTGCAAATTTTAAAACTTTGAGAGTGTTTTTTAATAAATTTAAAATTTAAGTTGAGTGTTTATAATTTTCATGTTTCATGTGTTGGTAGTAAGTTTTTTAATGTCAATATTTCTTACAACTCTGAATTTTGAGGGTATTTTTTATAATTATAGAAACTTTAAATTGTTTTTTGCAAAATTTAAATTTTTAGCGGTTAGCTAATAATTTTGAGATTTGATATGTATTAGTTATAAGTTATTAATTTTTAGGGTTTTATGTGTTTTTTAATTTTCGAAAGAGTTTTTCGGAATTTTTATAACTTTGAAGTTATTTTTTATAAATTTTAGTTTTTTAGTGTCTGATAGTAATTCCTTGAATTCGTCTTTGTTGTTCGCAAGTTTTGAAATTTTAGAATTTTATAGTGTTTTTTTATTATTTGAGCTTTTGAGTGTGTTTTTATAGTTTTTAAAATATTGAGGGTTTCATATTTCTTGTTTTAAGTTTTGAAATGTCTGGATGTTTTATGTAATTTTATACTTTTTAGGGTATTTTGTAACCTTCATATATTATAGCTTATTATTTTTTAAATTATTGACCTTTAAGTAGTTCACATAGGATTAGGATAGGATATAATTATGATTATAATAAATTAAATTTAAATAAAATATTCAAATAGTCAAGGGTAATATTGATTTTCCCGAACTCGTATAATTTTGAAATTTGATATGTATTGCTTATAAGTTATTAAATTTTAGGGTTTTCTGTATTTTTTTAATTTTCGAATGAGTTTTTCAGAATATTTATAACTTTGAGGTTATTTTTTACAAATTTTAATTTTTTAGTGTTTGATAGCAATTCCTTGAATTCGTCTTTATTGTTCGCAATTTTTAAAATTTCAGAATTTCATAGTGCTTTGTTATTATTTGAACTTTTGAGGGTGTTTTTATAGTTTTTAAAATATTAAGGGTTTCATGTTTGTTGGTTTAAGGTTTTGAACGTCTCGATGTTTTGTGTAATTTTATACTTTTAAGGGTGTTTTGTGTAATTTTTAAAACTTTATAGGGGGTTTTGCAATCTTTATATATTAAATTATTGACTTGTAAGTAGTTCACATAGGATTAGGATAGGATATAATTATGATCATAATAAATTAAAATTTAAATAAAATATTTAAATAGTCAAGTGTAATATTGACCATAAAAAGGTTTTTTCGAACTCGTACTTTTAAATGGAGTATGATTTTTATAATATTTTTTGTAAATACTAATACCATTCCATGGATTATTTATGTAATGTTTATATGCGAATATTACACTTTATATAATATATTGCCACCGCCATGACTATTAAGGATTCTGATAGATAACATGGGATGTCATTTTATTTAGATTGGTTTTGAAAATAAATAGAATTGCATATAAATAATGTTTCAAATAAAATTTCTTTTTAGTAAAAAAACTATTATATTGCATTTGAATCAAATGTAAAAAATAAGCACGAAAGAAAGTAATTATTTGACAATAATGCTATGGAAGCAGTTTAAGTACAGGTAATGGAAGTATGATAAAACTTAAAAACAAAATTTATCAAGGTGGGCCTCTTCCTAAATATATCAATATGGACCTATAATAGTGAATATTTTAACTTTATATCCATTTAACCTTGGGGTGCTTGGCAATCTGAAAGTGAATTTAAAATATATAAGTTATTTTTTTTGCAAATGACTTTTACATCCATGTCAGCACGCAAATGAAATACAGTGTTTGTTTGAAAAATTAAATTAGTATCGAAAGTACAATGTGAAGATGACGTGGCAAAATAAGAATAATTAGAAAATATAATTAAAATTATTTAATTAAATTAGTTGCATTTTTATCACTTTCATGTGACTTCACCACTTTTTTAGGGGAAGTCAAAATTGCATTAAATCATATGTAACAACTTTTTGCATCTCACTTTCTCACTTTTATTTTCTCACTTTTATTTTTCTCACTTTAAATCATATGTAACAAATTGTTAAATGAGAATAATTTTCTCACTTTTATTTTTCATTTGCATGCAAACAAACACCCCCCTTCTGGTGCTCTGAGTTATTAGGGCTTTAATCCCATAAAAGACTTCACAAAAGAATGGGCTAAATGGATTTTGGCACTTCTAAGTAGTCATTTGCCAAGTTCCTGTTTTTCAAATCATAGAATTATTATTACATATGTAAAGTATGAAAATGCAGGAAAGCTGGTTGATTTGTTACACGCACATGATGGTGTTATGATATATAGAAGGTCAAAAAAAAAAGGGGGGGGGGGGGCGGGGACAATAGTGAAATCATCAACAACTTGTTTGCGGCAGATACGGATCCTTAGGAGAATATTATATTTAAATAAAAAACATAGGATGGTCAAAAGATCCACTAACAAAATTAGAAATTAAAAAGAGAAGAAGAAAATAATAGCCAACACCATAAATTGACAGGTGGGGTTCAAGTTTTGGAGCAAAAAGGCAGCGATTCAAAGCCAAGAGGCAGAGCGAAAGAGCCCAAATCAGAAGTCCCAAATATATTAAACCCAAGCAGAGTTGTCTACTCTGAAATCTTCAATGGGGACCACATTTATAAACTACGTGAACATATAAACTATAAATATGGGGAAATTAAATAAGATCTTCTAAAGATTTATATAAGTAACATATATTTGTCTAAAGTTTTGAAGGTAACATTTTCTTTCCTCTTAAAATCTTTTCCTTCAAATAAAATCACGTGTTTAAAGACAAAAACACTCATGGTCTTTAGAGAAGAACTAACATTCTTTCTTTTCTTTATAAGAAGATGTTTATGTTTAACATATATCGTGATATCCATCTAAGTTATTTTAAATTAAAATTTTTCCTATCAATATCATTATCATATATATATATATATATATATATATATATATATATACTCACTTTAAAAGTACAAGTTTCGATAAAACTTTCGACGGCCAACATTACTCTTTACTATTTTAAATATTACATTTTAATCATAATATCTTCTAATATTATTCTAAAATATAGTTATCCCGTCTTAATTAATATCATTCTGAAATCTATGATCTATCTAAAAGAAAGCATCAGGTTTATCCATATCCTAAGCACAAATCCCAAATATGTGTATATCCTTTACCTTTTGGATTATATAATTACAACAACAATTTAAAATCATATATTACTACATATGTATCATATTGGGGTTTTTATGGCCCCGTTAGAAAATGTACATGGATATTGCTGTAGCCGAAGACACATTAACAGGTCAAGGCGATTATTTGAACTGAATATTTTTACCAATTTGATTCCGCAAATTTAGCTTTGATTAGATTGTTATCCTAATTATCCTATCACGTAAATCAACTATCATTATTCCCTTTACCCTTTGAATTATATAATTTTAAACTTTAAGAAATTATACAATTGTTATTTAAATAAAAACTCTATTTATAATTGTTATCCTCTCACATGCAACATTGTATTATCATATACTCTCTTTAAAATCACGAGAAAATCTTTCGGGAAAATCTTTAACCCTACTCACGAGAAAATCTTTCGGGAAACTCTATTTAAAATCATACAATTGTTATCCTCTCACGAGTTCAGGAAAATCTTTCGGTAGACATAAATACCCTTGGAATTAAATATTATTCCATTAAGTAAGAGTAAGTTGATAAATTGAAGAAATCTTATTGGATATACATAGTATGAAGATAAGGATACAATTTAAATTGAAATGTAAATCTAAATAAAATTATTAAATACCAAATTTATAAATGTCTACAAAATAAACGGCGTATATGCAAAAACCAAATAAATTAATGAGACAAATAATGTCTACCTCAAAGGTCAAACCCGAGAACAACGTTGACCTACAAATATACATAATGTGGATGAGATATTTACAAAATCCACCAAATAAATTAAAGAGACAAAAGTCATTCTCAAAATTATAAAAAAATTAATGA